GATGAGGCCGCCCTGGTGGTCAGCATACACAACACGCCAGTGATTCCACCTCTGACAAAACTAAAAGTGGAACTGACCCTGCATCAGTCGGTCTTTTGGGACTGATGTGACTGATGCACCCTCTGTCTTCAGGAAGAGACTATTTTTGGGATTGCTTTCGGAACTCGAACCCCGTTTGTTTTCTACTCGCACTGTTCTCTTTTGCTTGCTGGTACTGCCCTCACTGCCACTGCCTCTGCAGGTTGAGTGCTGGCACCTCAGTGCGGAGTCTCTTCTGCATGTCCCAAATAATAATTCGTCAATGACCGCCACAGCTGAAATACCCAGTTGGCTCCACCCATCTGCCAACCAGGCCACTAGGCGTCTCCATGTTCAGCAACTCTCCACCCAGGAGATCCTGCCGTCACCATACGTCAACAAAAATGCACACCTTGTCTTCCAACCCAAGGACTGGCAGACTACAGTGGTTTGAGAGTAGGTAGCACAACCCCCAATAGGGACCCGCATAAACCAAGACATCTTTCCAGTGCCAGTGCCATCCACTCTGAAACCACTGTATATGGAGGCATTCTTGGATTCTGGGCCGTCCCAAGGTGAGGACCTGTCGCTCAACAAGCACCTGTCGTTCAACCGCCCGGGAGCGTGTTGGGAGCGCATCGAAAAAAACCCTCTCCTCCCCACCGCTGGCCGGCGGAGCTGAAGACACCTGATCAGTTCCAGTCAACATCCGGTGACCTCCACTCCACCAAGAACAGCTACACCCGGAACAGAACCACATCGAACCTGACAATGGACCTTTGGAAGACTAGCTGCCTCCGCAACTTGGGTTTCAGGTTGTGTGTAAATCTTCCCGGGCGTAAACAGGAAAACATCTGGGGCTGAGTCTCCGCAGACTGTTTTCCAAGCGGATGCTTCATTTTGACCGCTTCGGCTTCAACTAAGGCGGCCGCCGCCCCATCCAACAGCGATGAGCCGCCAGGTGCAGGCTGAGGCGGTTTTTCCTGCAGCTATGCGCTGGAGCCGGAACCCCCGATCGTTTCCTTTCAGGGCGTCGCTCCTATGAATATCCGGGAAAAAGCATATGATGCGAACATATGCAAACCAAAAGCTTGGCCAACAACCACGCCAGGCATTGCCAGGCCTCCTCCATATCAAGCAAATCCACCATGGCAGGCGCAGGCGCTGGGGTTGCAGCAGCTTCTGCTGCCTCCTCGTGTGGGGCTTCTGCTCTTTGCTCATTCCGCTGGCCCCAACGACGATGGGAGCCTCAGAATGCTTCGGGCATCCTTAACTAACACATCTTAACATGCGTCCTTAACGAACAAATAAATAGAAGTCGCAAAGCAATTCTGCACACCCACCCCTAACCTTTCAAAATCAGTCTGCCTGCCCCTCCAATTCTCCGACCAGTGGCCAACACCATAGCTAGCCCCAGCGTGCGTAGCACCACCGGACAGCGGGCCAAGTGGACCATGGCTATTTCCGCCGTAGCCACCGCCGTAGCTGCCGTGTCCGCCGTAGCTGCCGTGTCCACCATAACTTGATCCACCACCCCCACCGGGGCCCGATCCAAAGCTCCCCACCGGCGGAGGCCGGTAGGTACTCTCTGAGGATGGGAAGGAGGGTGGCGGCTGCGGAGCACCCGTCACCTCCAAGGCATGAAGAACGAAGCAAGAAGCAAACTCCAGGTCTTATGCCAATTGAATTCCACGAATCAGGTATATAAAGGCATGCAGAAGAATTGGCTCTTTCCAAGAGGCCTTGGACTGGAGGTATGATACAGCAGACATCGTGCTGGACATCGCCTTGTTAAACACCTCAGTGATGACTCCAAACGCGAACAGCAAGTATTTCCATACACCCAAGCTGACCCCCTGCTCATGTATGAGCAAATTCTTTGGGCTCTGCAAGCTTGAAGGGGGAGCTCACAAAAAAAGATCTGCGATTCACATGGAATCCGAGCACCGCACGCTGTCATCGTCCTTCCTCGGAGGCGCATTCTCGAAGTTTGGATTTCCAAACCCGACCATTCCTCCTGTGAAGCAGCAAGTTCTGCCTCCCCTCCCTTACCACAAACTCTTGGTATGCCGCAAGCAGTCTGATCACATGGCGCTCTGTGGTGCTTTGCGCAGAAACGTGGAAATGAGGATGGTCAAACTATACAACTACTTTTGGAATGTATTGGGGGCTTTCTAAGGTTCTGATCAGTTTGCACGGTCCTGAGCCAAAAGATCTGCCGCCTCCACCTCCTCCTTCAAAACTGCTCCCACCTGGAATCAACCGCAACGAACGAATCTTTGGCCTGGTGTTTGTCCGGTCACCCGGTCGGTGCGTTCTGCGCCGGAGTCCCAGGGCTCCACGAGTTCGGCCTCCACTGAAGCTGCTCGAGCCCAAGTTTCCTATCCTGGAGAAGGCAATTCAAAGGATGGACCGGAGAAATCATGGACTTCATCCCAATATAGCTCGGTGGCTCATAGAAGTCAAGTGGGGGCATGGAAATGCAGAAGATTGCAGAACCCTTAGAGCTTGCTAGTCTGAATGCAAGAGCAGGTTTCCTCGAAACTTGACATCCAAACAGGACACATCCAGTGCTATTCTTTTTTCTCGGTCCTGCTGCTAATGTCCTCGCTGGGTTCGCTTCCAAAGCCCTGCATCTTTTTTCCTTGGGCTGTACTGAAGCCATAGGCGTTCAGCGATGCATTGGAGCCTCATGAGCGGATGAAGAGACGACCCTCGCAAAGTCATGGAGACCCTCCATCAGGGGGCCATGCTCCATGTCTGTCTGTCAATGACAGGTACCTTGAGCTGCCTGCTAGATCCTGCTAGTATGCTGTGAGGCCGGGACTGAAGACAGCCTTCACTGCCAAGTCAGCTTCCTCTCTCACCGCCTTGTTTGGAGCATCTCCTCCAATGCGGGAGCAATCCCTACCCTCCCCGGGGCCCCGTGGAAAATGCATGCATTGGAGGAGGTCAAATCTGTCCGTCAGCCTACACTAAATTCAGCAAGCTGTCTTGCACATCCCTCTCTCACAGCGTCTCCTTTTAAGGGATCAGGAGTGCCACGGTACTGAAGGCATGCCTTCACAACTTCAGCCTGGACACCACACGATCTCCCAAAGCTGCACCGTTGCACATCTGGCAATCATATGATGTGTCAGCTATCGACGCATCGACGCAACATCACCAAGATAAGCCGTTGAATTCATGCGACCGAGTCTGAGCGGCTCAATGCCCAATTCTCTGCCATTTCTTTGGAATTTAGACCTAGTCCTCTGGCAGATTCGGCGGTTTCAGGGCGAGAGAGCGTGGATTGATCCCATCACGAGTCACAACCTTGTTGGGCTTCGGACATCGAGCTTGTGTTTGTTCTTGCTGCCACTGGTGTTTCGTTTGCGATTGAAACTCCTGAGAGCCCTTTACTCTAACCTTTTTTTTTTGCATTCTTCACGAAGCCGCCCCTTACTATCCTTACTCGTATTTTGAAGCCTCTTGTCTTGCTTTAACTTTGGATCATGTTTTGGGGAGGGCTTGGTCTGGGTGATCTTCGTGAGTCTGATTTCTCGTGTGTGTGGAACTGAGATTGATCAAAAAAAGGGAGAACATCGCTGATTGGTGTCCCCGAGGGATTGGCTACCAAGGCCAAATCCGAAGTGGTGCACTTCACCAAGAAGCGGCCGATACTGTCTGCGCAAGACCTATCGCGCCCACTTCCCGCTTTCTGAGTCGCGAGTGTCCGATTTGTCCACGAAAAAAATCATTGAGACATGTCATGAAATGTCCAGCCTTTCTTTGAATCGCACGCTTGAATTCTGGCTTTCCTTGGTCACAAACCTGGGTCAAAGCGACAACAATTCATGGCACAGCCCTCTGTTGGAACATATGTGGCCTCAAAGTGACTCTGCTGAAACACACTTAGCTGCAGCCCAGGCACGTGCTTGATGATCTTCAAACATTTGAGCTTAACATGAGGATTATCTTTTTCAAGCCTTGGTGGCGGCATGGCATGCGCCACCGAGGCGGCATCCATTTTAAATTGGCAGGACGCAAACACCAATGATTTGTCGTTTTACCGGCCAACTGCGTTGGTCCGCGTTGCGAAACGCGCCAAGGAAGGCACTTCTTGATGAGGTAGTCGGCCAGTTGCTGACATGCATTTAGGTCTGCAAAGGTGGACTGCGCTATCCTTGGACTGCGCACCCGAGGATCGAAGTGTTCGCCGGTACAGCCGAACGCCAAAAAGGACTTTGCCGGTACAGCGAGACAGTTCGCCGGTTCTGCCAGGCATCTCAGTGTACAAATAGCCTGGGGTAGGCGTGTCATCGGCACTTGTGGCTTTGTTGAGCGCAGACCTGTCCATGCTCCTGCCGAGGTCAAGCAATCAAAACAACTAAAGCCGCCAAAGCCGTGACTCTCGAACTGAATGTGCAGCGCCAAATAAAAAAGCGGTCTTGTATACTGTGTGTATTCAAAAATACCTAAGATGCTTCCGTATCAATGAATCTGAGTATAGCATGAAAAAAGAATGGCGCCCTACAGAGTGGTGAAAAAAACCATACGAAGTAAACCTTCTTGACACGAGTTTGCACAGATCGTCCTCTCCTTCCACTAAGGAAGGGGCTTCTTGCACTGCCCACAGCTCAACTTGAACCAATCACGACTACGGTGAGGCAAAGCTGGAACCCTACAAGGGTTACATCTTCTGGAAATGATTGATTGAGAGCGACAGCATGAGATCAAAAGGATGCGTGGCAAAATCTGTAGGGCCAAGTGCAAACCAATCAATGGTTCAGGTGCATCATCTACAGTGACCCCCTCACAATCCCAACTGCGAACTAAATAGGTTTCTGGCAACTCAGTTCTTCAAGTCTATTGGAACAGTTGTGCCTCTGCCATTTCTATCAATATGGGGAGTGTTCGATTCAAACTCCCACAGGTACAATCCTCCAACACGATCAAGTGGAACATGGGCAACCTGGATCAACCCTGTTTCAGGCCAAGACGTCCTTACGAAGGCTGTAGACATTCTGGGTGACCTGGGGCACATGGGGCAAAGGTGTGTCAGGTGTGTGACACCGTATGTATAATCTATGGTTACTTATATGCATATATATATTACAATATATAAATATATACACAGCCATCCAGACCAGGGGTTTGGTTTTCAAAGGGTGCTCTGCACATGCATTCCGAAAATGACCCTGCACAAATGGCACAACACATGATGACATGTTTTGAAAGTTGCTCTCCGTAAAGCCATTGTAACACAACGGTTGAAAGATGTTGAAAGCAACTGAGGCAAGCCCGTTGATTGAAACCGCTCTCCTAGCCCGTTGCCTTCCAACATCTTCCAACATGGGACTTCAAGGGGGTGATCTGCATGCTTCACTTGCTCAGGCTGACTCCGATTCGTCTTTTGCGAAGGCAGCGTGGCGGGCGTAGTTGGTGTGTGCGATAGCCTGCAATGAGAGTGCTGCGCAACTTCATTCTCATTCTTGGCAGCTCTCCAGCTGACTCTGCGACAAACAACTCTTTTGTGTACCTCTGCCCGGGCCTCAAGATGCATGAAGTAACAAAATCAGGCGGTCAAATGTGGGACACATTCTGGAAACCATGACTGCAAGCCAACACCCCACAAGGATCCACTGCATGCTGGTCCAACAAATCCGTTTCGTTGATTTCTGGGCGTTCACCAAGAAGTACGTTTATTTTTCCCACTACACCAACATCTGGTGATACCGTGATACCTTTCGGGCATATATGCCGCCCTTGCCTGGTGCAAGCAATTTTGAGTGACTGATTCCTTCTGGGGGCTCTCTTAGGCTCTGTCGTCCATCTGCCACCATCCTTGGCGCTGGGTTTCCCAGGCCTCAAGCTGGGCGCATGGCAGGCCTGGCAGGCCTGGCAGGCTGATCATAAAGAAGTCAGTTGGACTGTCCAAGGAGTAGCGCTCATAGGCGCAGAGTAGCCCGGCAGGTAGCCCCGTGGATGGTCCTGTGGATTTTAATATGCCCCCGACCTATGGGTTTCTATGTTGCTTCTTCCAGGGGATCGAACTGGGAGGTCCATTTGAACACACACTCACATGGGTGTGATATGGTGTGATCCCATGGTCCTATAATGTCCCATAGTTTCTGCATAAGTGATCGTCCAGAATCCAAATCACCTGAACGAAGCACGCGCACCCCCCAACCACCTCAAACCTCAAGAGAAATGGTTTAGTGGGAAACGCGAAATCCAATCTAAATCCATCAATCCACACGAATTGAAGAACGCTAAGGCAGTCTCTTTTTGCACACTTCTTCGCAACAAAAGTTCTGTGTTTTCACCGGCAGAACTCTGACCTCTTGAATGCTCTCGTGTCTGAGGACTTCATCCAACCTGCCACCTCCGGTCGATTCAGTGCATAGCCAAAATACCAAAGGATTGGCTTCGCCACCGGTTGGCTGGACATCTCGTGCTCGGTGGTGGTGATGACTAGGACGGTGTCAAGGTCCACGGAGATAAACCCGGTATTTCCTCCACCCTCAATGCGCCTTCGTGAGACACGCAGGCAGGGGGCTGTCTCATCTTCAGCGTCTGTATCGATGGTGCTGCAGCTTTCAGGTTTGTTGGTATTCTGTCTCAACTCCCTCAAAGCGTTTTCCAAGAGCAAATTCTCCTGGTTGAGCGCTCCGCATTTACGCTCTTCCTCTTTCAGTTCTTGTTCCAACTGCGCGAGCATCTGAGCATTCCTCTGCTTTTGCTCCTGTAATCTTTTCAGTCCGCTGTGGGCGCTGCCATGTTGACAGCTCCCTGACAATTGTTTTTCCACTTGGACCATGCGCCGACGCAAGCGCATCAGCTCCGCCTCCGCATCCGACACCTTCTGCGAAATGGCCTCATCCGCCCGTGACGCGGAGCTGGGAGCAGCCATGGTCGAGCAAAGCAGCTGCGAGATCCTTTTCTGCAGCCTGTCTCCCTTCGAAAGAAGGACATCATCCATGTATGTAATTGTATATATATAATTATATATATATAATATATAGTTATCATCCATTACCGTCATCAAATGTCATAAAGTACCATAAGTGTGTTCTGAGGTCTGGTAGATTGAACATCACTCAAGCCAGTCATGTTTGTGGTGCTTTGGTTCCCATCCTGCCTGGTTTCCGAGTGGTTTGGGAAAACGTTCAACCTCTGGCGGGCAATCCCTCGGGAACCTAGAATGGGGAATGCCCTGTCAAGGAGTCTCATGAATCGCTATTCGTTGCAGGAGCGGAAGGAGAAGGACGAAAAGCAGGATTTCCCTGAGATGAGAGAGTGCAACCATCAGGCACTTGTCAATTATATAATTATATCCGGCAGGATCCTGCAGGTGTTTGTCGGGTAATCAAGTCACTTGTCTCATCGTCTCTTCCTGCAACAGCTGGTCCTAAGCCTGGAGCAAGGACTTTCAGCAAGCGAACCAAGTCCTTGGCAAGCAGTATGCCAAAGCGATCGTGACTGAGCGAGCATGTCAGTCAGTCTCTTTCCCCTTCTGGCAGCTGGCTCGTCCCGGAATCTAGACCAGGACCGCCAGGGCCGCGGGCCGCGTTTCCAGAGCAAAGCCATCATGCAAAGACCATGTATATGAAAGTTCTGACGACTTTGCTCCGCTGCACCAGGCTGGGAAACGAGGAATATGAACTTTTCCGAATGCACCGCGCATCCCAAAAATGCCAGTGGTCACAAAATAGGCTTCATCCTCTCATATCCGAGCCCCCCGACCCGCTCTATATAATCGACACCACTTGCAAGTGAGACTCCACAAAGCCAGGACGGTGGCGCTCTTCTGTGCTCACGCAACGCAGTGCAGTCCTTGGGGGCCGGGCAGTCTTTTGCGGTGTCATGCCGTCCTTCGACGATGGAGAGCTGTTCAATGCCGTTGGGCGGGTGTCCTAAATGTCACAAATGACTTGACAATGAGTTGTTGAAGCTGCTAGTGATGCAAGGATCACTGCACAGTGAAGACTATGAAGTGAAAAATAAGAAAAGCAACATTGTGAGTTGGGCGATTGAATTGTGGGCGTGAAGCAGCCCTGAAGCAACCCTGTTGAGCAGTGCCACTTGCCGATGACTTGGAGAGGAAGGGTGGCCTTCTCCAACTACATAGCCGCTCAAACATAGGTCCGTGCAGCAGTTGCTGTCCAGAACCCTGCAGTTGCTATCTGAATCTGCTGCCTTTTTCCTGCAAATATCCCGAGTGCAATGCCATATGTTCAACTAAAATGACATGCAAGAACTCGAATTCACAGCTTCCACAGTGGATCTATATACAGTAATCTCTGTGTCCGCCTGGGGCCGGGATCCATAGATCACATCAAACACTCACAGGGTCGCTAGCTTATCAGCTCACGTAGCTTGGAGGCGCAAACGCAGTCGGTCAAGAGAATGCTTGGCGCTTTCCTGGCCAAATGGCAGGAAACTTGATCCTCACAAGGCCTGCTTAGTGAAGAAACGATACATCAGGCGTGCGGCGTGGCCATGTTCGGATCAGTTCGGATCGATGTACGGGAGAGTGGTAATCCCACCCGGTGAAGCCCATGTCCATGGTTCTAGAACTATTCCGGTCAGCCCTGGCGGAAAAGAAAACAGTATTTTAGATTTCAAGCGACTTCAGCAACAAAAGAGGTATCTCTTCGGTCCCTAGGTCTGCAATTTGGTCCCGCAACCGTCTCATGCTATACTGGGCAAATCCCAAGTTCTTGCTGCTAAACATGTCCCAAAAAATCAGTCCGGCCCCAAGTGCTTCTTAATTGGGCTCGAGGTCTCATAAGTTTAGGGCGCATTAGGGACGTGCAAGAATTTCCATATCTATGTATAATGTCAAAAATGAAACGTCTGCTTTGGGTTGAATTGTGCCCTTTCAACTTTCAACATCCTGATTTGTTGGTTGGATGTGCTTCTTACAAGCGAACAACCTAGCCTCCAAATGGCTTTCTTTGCAAGTTATTGATGCGATTTCAACAAGGGATTAAACAACACCTTGCTGGGTGGAAAGATAGCTTTCAAAACGACCCGAGAATTCAATTAAACCATCCCTGTAAAATATACAGTTAAATTTATGAATAATATTGCCACGGATAAAAACGGGGTGTTTAGTAGTAGGTAGCGAGTCCGGATTCCTCTAACTTCCCAGATTGCTCCAAGCAAACCGAGGGTCCCAAGGCTCATTCAGGCGCTGCTTTGCTGACTGCAACGCTTGCTGCTCCGCATCACCTGGGAGGACGTTGAACCGTTGGACCCAACACGACGCGATCGCCTCCAACCGACACGACGCGATGCTCAGGGTCCGTTTGAGAGCTTTCACATTGAACCAACGCCACTGAGCTGGGAAGGCAAGATGGGCTGAGCTGGGAAGCTTCGACATGGTAGCTGTGACTGAGCTGTGACGCAGCTGCAACTCAAGTTGCTCCACTCGGACTCGACTGGACTGAGAGTTCTGATAATTTCCCGGTTTGCCCCCTGGAAATGGAACTGCTTTTGAAAGTGCAAGCTTGAAGCCTGTTCATCTACCACATACGAATACCCTATCCCTCTCTCATGCTCTTGGATGCCACCAAATTTATCATTGACAAGTTCCATCTAGTTTCGGCAGATCCGGACAACATCCACGGATCCACAAGATCCCCCATATCTGGGTGACTTGGTGGGCGATGGATGTTGATGTGGGTTTGGCCGTTTGGCCGTTTGGTCTGGATGCTTCTCTTTGCTAAGAATCTAGTCACTAGTCCCTCCCTTCTCGTTATTTTTCGTTCATCGCGGCTGACAAGTACAAATGCAATATTTTCGAACTTGACACCTGAATACACCTCCTATAAATAACTAAACCTATACTGTAACATACTGTAACTATAGAGGATCATCTTTGTCCCCTTACATCCACCGAACTGGCTTTGCTACCATCGCTTCTCCCATCTTTTCTCTCCTCAAAACACCGAGTCTCGTTGCTCCCTGAGCCTTCGCGCATGTGCCTGGGCTTCACCCAGCTGCCCCACGAGCTGGGCCTTCATCAACATCGCGGACGCTTCGGCCTCTGCATCGCCCTGACCTGGGAGAGGGACGATGAATCGCGGTCGGCGCCCCCATGGTGAGAATCGCTGGTAATGCCAAACATCTCCGAAGCGCCAATGACGTGCGCTTGAGATGCTTGAGGGTGTGTATTGTGTGGCATTGGGGCTACAGTAGGAGAAAGACAAAGTGCGCCATCTGGAGTAGAGTAGGGATAGCTCTGTGTCCTCATGGTGTTTTGGCGCTCCAGCTGGCGCAGCAGTCCTTCCATCGGAGTATGGGTTCTGCGTTTCTTCCATTTGTGCAAGCATGGCTGGCAAAGTCACACTGGTGGATGGGCACAGTGATGTTGTAATGTCACTGGGGTTCTGCCACAAAGGCCCAGAAAGGGCCCACAATATCCCACAATGAGATAAAGATAAATAAGCACTGCCGGCATAAAAGCAATCATTGGAATCGGGGATAAAATGGGTAAGTAGTGGATGTTTACCTCTGGCACGATGCACGGCAAAAGGCATGCGAAAGCCCCTCTCTCTCTCTCTCTCTCCGCCTTTGTGACCCAAAACAGCTCCGATGCCTTCTCCCAAAAACTCCCCAAACCCACCGAGGAACCCTTTGCAATGTCCAACCTCAGCTGGCTGCAGTCACTTTGGACGGCATGGAACTGCTGCAGGACTCGCTGCAGCTCCTGAACGACGACTGGAACGAAGAACGCCCCGAAACGTCAGGCACCGGGTGGGCGATGAGGGGCCGCCAGGTGACGGTGCTTGGAAAGGATCGCTTCGGCCACTTTCACAAATGAATATAGTTGAACCGACCAAGCTGGATTGACCAGTCTGATGGCCAAGCATGGCCAAGAAGTACAAAAAATGACTTCTGAGCTGGACCTATTGATTCTTTTTAAATACAAAAAGAATCAATAGGTCCAGCTCAGAAGTCATTTTGTCATGATCTGTTCAACAAGTCCCAGGGCAATACTTTGCAACTGAGAGCTCATAGAATTGCACATGCAGAAGACGTAATTAAATTGCATCTGGGTGTCAGCTTCACCCCTTTTCTCGACCCAACATTCTTCGCTGACCCCGATGCTTAGAGGCTTAAGCCTTAACCACTCACAGCTGACTGCTGCGCCAGTGATTATCCCAACGGCTCCACATCATCCGATCCGGTCCAGCCGTTGGCGGTTGGAGTCCCGTAGGCAGTAGAGACGAGGCGAAAAGAAATGCTAATATATCAATTGGCTTTAAAATGCCTTATATACTTGAAACCTATGATGCCCTATAAGCAATGTGGCACTTTGAGGAAAACAGGCTCTAGATCAGTATGCATGTGCTCTGGACATTCAAGAAACAACTCGTCTTGGGGCAATGCTGCAATGACCAGTTCATGCATGGGGGTTGTGATCCTCACCGGCACCTGACAATCATCACACCCTTTTTCGTTCTTTTGAATGCTTCGATCCGATCCCAAAACGACTCAAAAACGACCTTCGTTCGATCCTGCGATTCTTCGATCCCAACCAGGTCTCCTCATCCTTGTGCTTCGACACCTCTGCCGCCCGCGCCAACTCGGCCTGATCCGCTGATGACAGCTGCGCGGCAGGTGAAGTGTCTGGCGGTGGGCCGGCACCGCTGGGAAGTTGTCGTAGCTTCTCCACGAGCTGAGCCACCTGGAGGATCTGGAAAAGAATCACTGTCCTTCAAATTTCAGTCCTGAAGTCCTATAGAACATACCGGCCTCCAGCCAGCCGTTGGACTCCTCCTTGCACAGCATCCGCAAATATTTCTGTAGCTCGGCCCAGGCGTTCTCTTCACCAGGCAGCTCGGAGTCAGGCGCTCTGGGCGACGGATCCAGCAGCTCTGGACCTGGGGCCACTGGCACCGGTAAAGTGACGGCCGCCACGCTTGGTCCGGTCGAGGAGCGATGCACCGTGGCCTTGGAGTTGACAGACTTCTTTGGAGTTGACATATAATATCCGTGTGCGTGTGCGAGTATGTGTCCAATGATTCTAGATGCTAGGCTAAGGCACAAGACAGTATATGATATAAACTTTTTTGTAGTACATCGACCGGCCGGCCGGCTGGCTGGCTGGCTGATCGAGAAATAGCGGGCCGCGATAAGCTCGCAATGCTATCTCAGCACGATGTTTGGCTACATTCAGCAGGAATCCGACGACAGTGAGGCCAACGAAGAGTCAAATGAATAATAATCGAATAAATCGAATACAGTAGATAGATTCACCCAAAGTGAAGGCTAGATGGAGGGTGTGTGGAGAAAGGGGTCAGCAAAAATTGCTTGTACGAAGTTAGTGCATCAAAAATACCTTCCACGAAGTTCTGCGAAGGTTTCTGGGATTTCGTTGCGGTCAGTTCTCCTACTGGCCCACCATTCCACGAACTGTCCACGAATAGCCTTGGGTTCTACGAATGTCCCGCGCCTTCCACGATGTTAGTAGAATAGTATTTGCAAAACCCCTTCTGTGCACTACCCTTCCGTTTGCCTCTAACAAAGAGATTTTGAAGTAGGGTGGAGGCCATCGCTACTAAGGGGAGGCCATCGATACTAGGGCGGAGGCCATCGCTACTAGGGAAGAGCAAACCACATCCCGCAAATGCAAGGTGGCCGGATCTGGAGGGCGGAAGGCTTGGGAGGCATGCTCTGCGACGACGTGGCCTCGCGCCTGAAAAGCGCGGGCGGCAGGTTGCGGAGGGTTCTATTTTCGCTGCTCTTTGAGAGATCTGTATGTTGAAAGAATGGGTTCATAGACTCATAGCCTTGAACGAAATGTTCTTTCAGAACTCTAATTG